TCAGCAACATTTCTCAAAGGAAGGTGCATTTCTCTCTCATTAGTAGCTATACAAATTGACCAGAGTAATTTTGTCTATTTTGTTTAAACTACCAGAGTTAAAATGAATAAGGTCTAACTTTTATTAATTAATGTTTAAAAATTTTAAGTCAGCAAGAAAAAAGTGTTAACAATTTTTGGTCAAGGTGATGTCTGAGTCACTAACGTTGATTTTTAATAAATCCTTGGAAACCTTTTGGCTTGAAGAGACTGGAAACAATAGATATCCTACCTATAGCATGTCACCTTGAATCCAGGCAAGTTTCAGTGCTCTGTAAATGGAATACTAAGGCAGAATAATGTCCTGCTGGATTTAAGTTTGAAATATTGCAATTTCAGAAGTTTGCAATTGTTTTGCAGAGAGTTCTACTAATCAGACTCCAAAATTGGATATATTTCAGGAATCCCAAAGATGTGAAAGACTACTATATAGTGTATTATGGTACACTGTAATATATATAGTGAGAATTTTTAAGATACATAAAATTTATCTTGAGTGCAGACAATGACAAAAGATTATGCTATACTTTGTTTTCTTTCCAGTTAATTGTATTTTTTTAAAATAAATGCTCAGGACATAAGCCAAAACCTCATTATATTGTTTATGAATCTGTAGCGAAATGACAGCATGCAAGTTCATTTCATTAGGAACTCAATTCTAGGTTAATTCTCCCTAACAGCAACTCTAATTTGGGCTAGTCAGTAAAGGATATTAATAAATGGTTTGGCATATATGTGTGAACTTTTCCTACAAGGTAAGTATCTGTACTCATTTTTGTCAAGTATAAAGGGCATTTAAAGAGCATAGTTACTATATGTCAAACATATCTCAATAGATTCTGAATAGTGAATTTTATTAAACTAAATTTCTGGTGTTGCTCTGGCCTTGACATTTTCAGGCAATTTAAGTATTACAGTTTGTTAGCATATTAATGTATTTTTGTAAATGGAAGGGAACCCAACTACAAGTGAAGCCTACTTTTTAATCTGCTAATCACAAACAAGTATCTGCTCTCAAAAACAGCAGAATAAAAGCTGCTTACTTTTGAATATGTGTACCGATAGCTCTTATTCCTACATATCTCAGAAGATGTTATTTTTTTGTATAGACAGCATAGCAGACCAAAGGCAAGCAATTTTTTGACCAAAATATTTATAATGCAGTTATAATTACAAAACAAAAAATTACTTTAGAGGAATGGATTACATTCAAAATATGTACATATCAATGTAAGAAAAATTATTAGGAGACCAAACAGTATTGAGGAGAAGAAAAACATGTTGTTAAAATATTCAGTGTTATAGTGCATGGGAAAATATGCAGATAAATGTTGATTTCTAAATCAAGTGACTAGTCTGCCCTTCAGTGTGCAAAATGGATCATAGATTGACATAGTAAATTTTCCCTATACCAGAGATTCATAAAACTATATTGTATCTGACCTTTGTGTTTATTGGTTTCTTTTTTCTTTCTTTCTTTCTTTTTTTGTTTGTTCATTTTTACAATACCAAGAATGAGGACTTTTCTTGAAATACATGCATAGTATGACTTGGACAATCATAACTAACCTTTAGTTAAACCTTGTAACAGACTCAGGAAAAATGAAGGAGCAGAGCTCTAACAAGCTGATTTATGTAGCCAATATTAAAACATTGTTTAATTGTTCATTTTTGGGGGGGGGGCAATGTTATTGGTACCATGTAATTTCCAGCTCAGAATCCTGTAACCATTTCTGTCCGCGTTCATATTAAATTTCCAACAGATTCTGCATCCTGTCAATTTGAAAATTGTTTGTCTTACTACTTATAAAAGGCAGGGAAAAAAGAATAACAAGGATCTCTTATAAAAATAAAAATGTGAAACAGTAGGACAACACATTTTCAAAGATTACCTGGTATAAATTGTTATGATAATGGCAGCAAAAGCAGACTGCTGAGTGTAACACTTGGCAGTCCATCACACTTATTTCCTGCCAAAGTGGCTGGCAAAGGAGGAAGAAAAAGAGTGTTTTGTTGTCTGTAATCTGTATCAATAATCTCTGTCAGCCCTTGTAGTATATCAAATAATAATGTTCTCTTAACATCCAAAGCGCAACTTTGAGGACAGTGTTCACATTGAGTTCTTGAATAAGATTTTTGTTTCTTAAGTTCCAGGGAGCCTCATTGTAATCCTTTGTGTTTGTTACACACAGAGACCACCTTACCTATGCTGCACTTGAGCTTTGCTGATTTTAAATGCCACCTTAACTGGTTACATAACTTTTCACAATGTTGCAGTGATGCCTTAAGCCCCTAATAGTTTTTTTATTTTTCTAATTTTTGTAAGCCTTATAAGTCTTATAAGTAATAGAAGTAGACTCTAAAAGCAGCAACCCTCACATCCCTTTCCCTGTTGCACCCTTAGTTTACACATCCCTTACCCCTCCTACCCCATTCCATGTACCCTATATCACTCCTATCCCCGAATCCAGTAGAAATGTTTAGTCTCTTGTCAAGGCAAGGCCTAGACTGTTTAGAGAACAACCATATCAGGGTCTGAATAACAAAATGGAGTCAAGAATTAGGTGACTATGTGCACTCTGTGCCCCGAAGAAGATGAAGATTGATGAAGAGGTGGTCCCAAAATACACTCCAGACCCATTTCTCAGGGTGTGGCCCTGGGGTGGATTGGAGCAAAGGCCACAGGGTGGACACATTTGGGATTGGATGGAGGGTATTATAAAATGTAACATCTCGGGCACAGGGGCGGGCGACGTGTAACATCTATTGCCTTGGCAGATTAAACCCTTTCCTTATCTCACCCTCAATTAACTGCTCCCGAGTTTTTTCTTAGCACCAGCTGAGCAGGCATCAGCAGTGCAGTAATATACTTCCTGTAGGCCTTTGCTGCTAAAGAAATAAACAGGGAACTGTTAGTGAAATTCTTTGATGAGTTGGAAGGCCAGTGCATTTTGTTTATTGTGTATGGCATGGTATGGTATGTTATGTTTCAGAGTGGTTGAACAGTGCAGAGAAAAACAATTTTCCTGGCTTCAGCCTTGTTGTACTTGTGCATGCTAACTCTCTGCTGGGAGGGAGAGAGCTCTCCTTTCCCATTAATTTGACTGGGTTTTGACCTCATTTAGACTTGTACCACCCACAATATCCTATAGCACAGTTACACAACTTCATTTTGAGTTGTATGAAAAACAACCCCCCGTACCTTGCTTTCATCTTCACACTGATTTATGTAATTTCTTATCCTTTTGATCCTGTATTGTAAGAAACTGTGAAAACTCTTTATTCATGTGTGCACTACTCTGTTCTAACTCTCCTTGATGGAGAGTTTTCCTGACTAAAGGTTCCTGGTCTATACAGTCGCTCTGTTCAGAACCCTTCATATGTCTCATCATTCCTATATAACAAAGTTTTTTCATATTGTGACTTTTTTGCATATTGTGAAATGCTGTTCTCAGGATTTTGGGTTTGCTATCCTGAGTAATGCAGGAAATATTGAACCACTTGTATACACCGAGGAGAATAGATCCTATTACAGATTTGTAGAGAGAATTTCTAAGGGTTCTCCATACTGAGCTCACCATTTATTCACAATTTTTCTTCTTCTGTTTTAACCACTCTCTTAATTTATTGAAGGGCTTCCTTGTTATCCCAGGGTGACTGAGTTACTTTAGAATCTTTTAGCATAGAAGCTTGGTAAAATCCTTTGAAAAATCAAAAGCCATGTACCAAGACATCCTTTTTCACATATTCAGTGTTCCTCCTGTGAGTTACAATTTCCCTTTTCAGAAACCTTCTCAACTATTCCCCCATACATTATGTTCATTTATATATCTGTTGATTCTGTTCTTCAGTGTAATTCTTAATTTCTTAATGGTTTCTTTTGAATGTAATTGGGACTTACTGATATGTAGTTTGAGGTGTGCCCTTGCATGTCGTGGTCTTACCCCCATTTTCATAAATAATTAAAGCAAAAAACTCTAAAAAAAAATTCACATCTACCATTCCCATGGTTTGGATGCCATTTTAAGTGATGACCACAGTAATTTCCCATAGGAATCCCAGGCAAATACTGTTTGCTACTGTTAACTTTTTAGTTTTCTTTAAAAATACTTTCCAGGAATAATTTAATTTGAGACAGATTTCTGATGTACCCCTACTAAAAAGGGGTTCTGCCATGGGAACTTCCCAGAGCTACTCTACATTAAATTTTGATTTGGTGAGTTCATTTACATTTCCTGCTAGAGCCATGTCCCTTTGAACATTCCCTTTATACTTAGATGGTCTGTTAGCCCTAAAGCCTTTCTGGCAGGCTTACTGCTCCTGTTGGGTTTTAAAAAGCATTTGATGCCTGCCATTTTGCTTTTAGCAAATTGTTCCTCAAGATCTTTATATTTTTCTTTCTGCAAATATCTAAACCTGACTTCAGTGTTAGAAATGGGTCCTTGGTAGTGTGTAACAATTTACTGTTCTGTGTGTTTTCAGTGCCCCTAAAGTGATTCCCATTTTTAGTAGGTCCTTAGGCATCTTTGAAACATGATTAATAGCACTAGATATCTTCTGAGCAGGGAAGTAGTAAACTTACAAGTAGATTTTCAAAGCTTCCCTGTTTACCATTCCCCGTGACCTGTGTTCCTCCATAAAAAAATATCTGATTAAAGTTAGAGAAACCCACTTTTTGCTGGTGTTTCACCATACCTGTTGTGCTGTCTATGTGTCCAAAACTCTCTTTTTAAGTTTGTTTATTAGGTTTATTTTTAAGTCAGTACTGCTTATCTTGCTGTGATATCTTTTCACATTTAAATTTTTTTTGTAGAATTTCTTTATAGAAAAAATGAGGATCAGGAGAGTTTTTCAGGAGTAGATGAAATTATGCTACAAGTCTTTCTGTAGAAACTTATTTATTTTTAAAATGGATCACAATGGCAACAAACAAAAGAACTGTGTGAATTTTTTCCTTTGTAGATTTCCGGACCTGTCTACAATTTCACTGGCTGTATACAAGTTATAGAAATCAATAATGTGGGACCTTTCAGATTCTCTGATGCTGTGGAAAGAAATAATGTTGACGATTGCAGGTAAACTGCCCTCTATGCCTTTTCAAATTGGAAGAAACTGTTTGTGCTGATTTTTCTTTCTTCCTTACACAGGGTGACCATTTTAGATAATTACAACAATAGTTACAGAGAAAAAGATAGAAAAAACCCTAGAGAGACAGATATTGTGCTTTCTTTTAAGCTTTTGAAGCATTTTCTTTATGGAAAATGCTTTTTTTGCAGAGTAGTTCAATTAAGCTTGACAGCACACTTAGAGCGAGTTGTCACCCACTGAATGCTGAAACATAGTGTAGTAAGAAAGATAATCTGCAAAAAAATATAGGAACAGAGAGTAGGGTGATGTGCTGGCTGTGTTTTACTTATGATTTCAGGATTTCTATTAATCTTATAACAAATTTGGATGACCTGCTACATTTACTATACAAGAGATTGTGAACAATACTGGAAAGCATTGTTTTTGAATAAGTTTAAAATCCCCAGTTGATTTCATTTTTACATATTCACATCGCTACTGGTTATGCATTGATTGAAATAAAAGGCTACACAGGGGCAATGGGGTACATTATGATTCTGTTCCGGAATATAATAGATTTGAACATGGAAAAGTGGAAAGCAAAATAAAACAGAGGTGAATTGCATTTGTAGGTAATTAGGCCTTTCAGAATAGAATATCACCCTAGAGAACATTATATAAGCCTTTTTACTTGTGGGTTTTTTTCCTAAAATTTACAAATTTTTTTGATTAATGTTCACGAGCTTGTTTAAACAGAGTCTTAGAAAGCTAGTGGCACTTGGCTAGATCATTAATTAAGGACTTGTGAGACCTGAACTCTGTACCCTTTAAGTGCCATTTTATTTGGAATATGTTCTCTAAGTGCATTTAACAAATGGTTGTGGGTCTAGGTCCTGCACAAAATAGAGAACCCTGCAAAAAAAGGAGAAACCTGCCTAAGAAAGAAGTGATGGCTCCACTCTTGTCTTTCTGCACATTTTTTCCTAGTCAGAACTATGGTCTCCTTCAAAATGAGGGCACATACTCTTGTCTGTGAAACTATGACTCTGTGCAGAACTAAAAATTCAGAAGGTAGAAAGCAAGTGAGGAAGCAACTTCATATCTTTAATTCAGGTATTAACTTAGGTGGATAAAAATCTTGACTTCAAGGGCTATCTATGTATTAGAAATATAATAATCATGGGGAAAAAGTCATAAACCATCTCAGTTGTCGCCTCAAATTACTAGATTAGGAAATTGTTCTCCATTTTGCATATGCAGTAGAGCTTTGATATCACAAATCCTACACAAGATGTAGCTCTGTTTTTTAAACTACTAGATAAAAGAGGGATAACCTTAAAATCAGGACTGTTACCATCTTTTGTACTTTCTTTCATTCTCCATAATACTTTCTCTGAGCTGGCTGTCTACATCTTTGGGCTTTACGACACTATTCTTTTTTTACAGCTTTTCCTATTGAATAGTTTACATAACTATTCCTTTAAGAACCAATATCCTTCAAGAAACAAGGACTAATGAGACCTGCTTTGTCCAGTCTGTGTATATAGCAGAGAGAGGGATATAGGCAGGAAAAAGAAAGCTTGTAAGAAAATTGACTTTGTTCCTTTTTAAATTTGTTTAATAGAATGCTATATTATCTGTTATAATCTATAGAATTATATTACAAGATTTATTGCATTTTGTATTGAATCTGGTACTTCCCTTCATAGTCAATTAGAATACGAATATGGCTTATGTGGTGTAATATAGACATTAAAGATCACCATATTTGAATCAGAACTTACTGACTACAGTCTGGGACTGTTTCTTGCAAATACTATGCTTATCTTACTGATTAGGTGAGTAAAATGGCACAATAATTTGTATAGAAGAACTGTGGAAATAGTCTTGGATATAAAAGGATACTGGAAGGATATTGGGTCATCTCAATCCTCTATGCTAAGAAACGTGTTCCTTTTACCTCCTGGCTTCCTCAGAATGCTGCAGATGAGCCTGACAGTGTCCAGCCCCATGCAGTCCACAGAGACCTGGCACCATCCTGGTCCAAACCAGAGTTATTCCTCTCTAAAAAGCTAAATTTCAACAATTGAAATTGTTGGAATTAGTTTGTTGAAATTCAGAGTAATTTTAACAGAAAATTGAAATTAGTCTGAATTTCCCTTGGTGGGAAGGGAAGTGCATGGGAGTGGATTGTGGAGAAGCCTGGCAAGCATTCTCCTTACTCATTCCTGCCCTGTGACACATGAATTTCACAGAATCACAGAATATGCTGAGTTGGAAGGGACCCATAAGGATCATCGAGTCCAATTCCTGCCCTGCACAGGACCATCCCCAAGAGTCACACCATGTGCCTGAGAGTATCATTCAAATGCTTCTTGAACTGTGTCAGGCTTGGTGCTGTGACCACTTTCCTGGGGAGCCTGTTCCATATCTGTTCACACATGGCAGCTAACATCATTCTTTGCTTTTCACTTTAGGTATAACCCACATTCATCCCAACACCATCAGTCCTTACATATAAACACTCCTTCCCAGAAACCATCTAGGAAGCTCAGCTGTTGTTCTGTTTTTGCAAGACAGGCTTCTGGGGAAGACAGATTTATTCTGAGAAAGAAGGAGAAAGTGGTTGAAGAAAGTTGTTTAAATAACACCAATACAAATAGCTAGTGAATACTGGAAAGCCTATTGTATTTACAGAAGTCATGTTCTGTAGATGCAACATTGCTACAGTTGGAGCTACCTGATAGCAGCAGAGAACTCTACAGTGTGGCAGACAAAGCAAACAAATTTCTTCCTGCAAGAACATGCCTGTATATTGCCAGGTAGTGGCACTAATTATTTCTGTTCTTGCTGTGGTAGTTTTTCTTTAATTGACCTTCTGCTTATCATCACCTGTTTGTAGAATTCTAATCTTTTTGAATTCCCCTGCTTTTGTGTACTTAGCCATTCTATAGTGGCACTGATTTACCCTGCTGGCTTTTGCCCTTCTGGGTGCCCCAGCAGCAGGGGTTATTATTGTGGACATGCTGACACTTCTTAAAATAAAAAGGTTTGTGAGTAAATGTTAAACTTATGATTTTTTAATAGGTTTGAAATTTACTCAGATGTGTTCTGTGATTTTTTTTTACTGGATCTACTTGAATTTTAAAATACCAAAGGATGATCTAATATATGCAATGAATATAGAAAGCTTTCAAAAATATATTTTAGAAACGGTTCATTAACCTTTCCAAAACTATTGATATCACTACTTCAGGACAAGTCACTACCTTTCACAGGGTAAAACATAAAGTAACATACTTTATGTTACTTATCTCAGAGATTTACATTACAGTTTAAAAAATGTTCAGAATTAAGAAATGTAAAAAATTACATCATAACATTCATTTCACTGGCATACATATCTAGCTGTCTAGTGTCTAAAATGCCCTAAATATATTAGGGCAAGAATGCTATTTGTTTCTTTAGAATTCTATTTTGTAATGCAAATATCATATGCTACAAAGAAGGGAGAATTATTTTAATTTGGTAGAACTAAATTGGAGATGGGGGTAACATGGAAATTATATTTTATGTCATTTTGGAAACAGGTGCTAAATTCTGCTTGGAATTCAGGAAGATAATTGATATAGGCAGCACCAGGCAATTGGAAGAGATTAAAGACCAACAATTTACAATGTCTTTATCATTCTGAAAAATGCAAGATTTCTGCGCATGCTCAGAAGCACTGAGGTTTCAGACATGAGCCTTTAACTCAGCTAATCTGTTAAGGTCATGGTCCAGATCCTTCTACTATTCACATGCACCACTGTTTAAGCCTGGAACTCACCCATATGCTATAATACATGATACCACAAGGAGAGAGAACAGGTAGAAGTGATTTACTGCACTGAGCAATACTCATCAGAGCTTCCTGCCATTGGATGTAACCAAGGTGAAGCAGGAAAGAGCAGAATAATGGTATGGGCAGGAGAATGAGTTAAAAGTTTGACTCTCTGAGAGAAGATTTGCAGCCATAAAAATACTCTGAGTTACACAGGTTCTGCTTTCAGGAAAGGTTGTAATGGAACTGTATCAATTAGTAAAGGTCAGACTCCAAAATATAGTTTTCTAAAATTATCCTAGACTATATACTTAAATAAATCTTGTCAAAGTTTATTTTAAGATTCTGTTTAAACTATACTTGTCTCAAAGTTATGAATATATAGGTAACATATAATAGATATTATATAATGACCAACAGTAGTAGTAGAAAGACAATTGGAAATAACTGATCTCTGATGACATTTTTAGTAAATGGAATCGCTTTTTTTTTATCTTCTTCTGAAGCAAGTCAGATACTTGTGATGTGTTAATGCAATATAAAGCATCTTGAAGTGTTTCAGAAAATGTTGCTAGAATAGATTTGTAGGATAAATGACTATCACTTCCAGATAAAGTTCAGATGACAGATATAAATGAAGCTTTGAGTCCCAGTATAAAAAGCTGGTGTTTACTGCAGTTTGCTTCTGTTTTAGTGTCTGGGAGCTATGACTGCTATATATTGCTGTAAGAGCTTACTCTAACAGTTACTGCATTTACTAAATTCAAAGGTTCCAAACACACACACACACACACATATAAAATATATACATGTGCATATATATCTGTACTTATACCTATCCAAGCCATGATTTGTTCACTTAAATGAAAAAACAATTCCCAGCTAGGAAACATAAACACTGCTTTCTGTTTTCCTGAGGGAAGTCTTACTGATGGATGCAAATGTACAAGAGTGATTTATACTTTCAGAGAGGAACTAATAAGCTGAATTCTTCATTACTGCCAACTGGACAGATTTTCTGGGTTTTTTTAAAGATTGTACTTTGCTGTTAATTTATCTTAAGATTTGTTCTCCAGGCTGAAACTGAGTTTTGTTTCAGCAAAGACACTGATTGCTATTTGCGTTTAGGAAAGAGGCTCTTGAAAGTGCATTACCCAAGTTCCATTCCATCATGAGGACTGATGA